AAAGAATTAAATTCGATACATGAAAAATCATGTTTCAATATACAATCAAGAAATAATAAAATCTTTTATCGTTCAAAAATAATTTCGTATTCCTGATTCTTTACATTCAGTTTAGTATTAGTTCTTTATTCCGCTTTCTCGTTCATTTAATCTGAGCTCTAAATAGAGAAATAATAATTTCTTCTAATAATTTTGTAATAGTGAAATTTTTGAATACAAAAATGTATTATGCCAACCTTAATTAGATCCAGATTGTCCATGCTTTGTCGCCTCAGTCTATATCTACAAGGTGTAGTTGTCGGGACGTTTGACGTCGCATTTGTAGTCAATTTTTGCGTGTTCAGATTTTCCTTGTTGCTCTCCTGTTGATTCTTTTCCAAGCCGAGAATTTTCTGCAAGTCATCAACGTTCATTTGCGCGGTAGCTTGACCCATTTGATCTTCCAGCTCCTTCGAAATATGCAGATGTAGATTCGCATAATGCAGTGCTTTCTCATGATTGCCCATTGCGGCATATGCGTTTCCCAATGACCAACAAGCCCGTCCCTCGCCGATACGATCCTTCAGTTGTTGCGCTATACCCAGATGCCACAAATGATATTCGATAGCTGCCGAGTAATCACGTAAGAGAGTATATGTGTTTCCTAGAGAATAGCACGCTTGCGCTTCTACTTCGCGATCACCCAATTCCTGTGCAAGAACTAAGGTTCTCCTAAAAATTGAACAAACTCATGAACTCTTCATAATTTTACATAATATACTGCAAATTTATGTCTGTGGCAACTCGAAATGCATTTTGTGTAACCGAATTCTGAAACTATAATCGCTGACATCAAAATATATTTTTTTCACTACTTTAATTTAAAAAATAAAAAAATAATAATTTGAATAATCAAGATATACTTGTCAAAATTAATAATCAATAGTTGAATTAATGGTTGATCATGTCATAAAAGTGATTCTTGTAACATATGAATTCCTTATAAATACTGATAATACTGTGTTTATATCAAAAACATACGTAGAAAAGATTTATAGAATTTATATGCAAATCTAACGACAAAGATAATGTTGAATACATATTTGAGGTTATCACTCTTAAAGGTCTAAACAGGTATGTACCATTAAAGTATAAAATTATATATATTCGATTTTTTTGGCATCGCCTTTCTTGCGTTTCTTCTGGGGATCCCTACATATATCCGTGGTGAGCATATTGTTATCACGGATATATGGGACCTACTGTTTTACGTCGGTTCTGAACGGTCAATATTTTTCTCAGCAGAGTTACTCCAGCGGTTTGCCAGACCTCCATAGAGGAGCGTTGTTTGCAATATCGGTCGGGATCGGGATTCGAACTCGAGACTTCTGACTTGCGAGCTCACGCTAATTCGCAGAGCCACAACGCGCTCAAAAGTATAAAATTACAAAGAATAAATTTAATAAAACTGCAATATTTACTTGTAATGTTGCGCAGCTTTCTCGAACTCGCCCAGAAATATATGCGAGTTCCCTAAATTGCTGTTAGCTCTTCTTTCAGCCGGTTTATCGCCAAATTCTCTAGCAATTTTTAAGCGTTCATTGTGATAATAAATGGCCTGTTGAAAATCACCCAGTAAGTAGAACGTATTGCCCAAATTGCCACATGCTCTACCCTGCGCTGCAGAATCTTCCAATTCTCTCATAAGTTCTAAATTTTCTCTGTGAGAAAAAGAAAAATGAAGAAAATGAAGAAAGTACTGACAGATATGCATAATATAAACTTTAAAGTTAATTGTGATAACGATTGCGCATTAATCAAAATCTTACTCGTAATAGCGCACAGCTTGTTGCAAACATTGTCGAACATCCTCGGAAAAATCTCCTGGATCCTGATGACCTATTCTACCTGCTTGCTTGCCTTTTGCATGATATACATTTCCTAAATTGTATAGAGCTCTTCCTTCGCTAAGCTACACATAACGAAATTATAAACTTATATATTTAGAAATGTAAATGAAATTACAAAATACTTAAACAAAGCAGAGAAAAATATAGAATAAATAAATGATGATTTTGAGAGTTATGATGAAAGAAAATTCTTTTTTTTTATATCTTTATTTATAAAAATTGATTAAAAATTGATTAAAAATTGACTTTCTTGCAACAAACATATTATCTTAGAAATATCACAAAATATACCTTGTCTCCGATCTCTCTGGAGATCTCTAGATGCCTTTTACAGCATATCATGGCTTCGTCGAATTTGCCCATAACTTTTAGTGTGTTGCCTAGATTTCCACTAGACTTGGCTTCGCCTAATTTGTCGCCCATGTTCCTAGCAAGAGTCAGATCCAATTTGTGATACTGCATTGCTTTGACATAGTCACCCAGGTAAAAGTATGCATTGCCAAGTTGACTGTAGATCGCGCTTAATATCCGTAGATCATCCGTGCCAGCTTGGATCGCCGCCTGGAAGAACGCCACTCCTGACTTGCAATCGCCGGCTTTGCATAGGCGCTCGCCCTCCAATGCCAGTTCCAGGCACATATTCCATCTCTCGCTATTCTGATAAATATTACAAACATCACGTTATAATCTGTTGTAGAAAATTGTTTATAGCTCAATTAATTGAGATTGTTGGAGATCTTACATGATAGATCATAAAAGTGATATTTGTAAAATGAAATTAAAATATATAATTAGAATTAAAATAATTTCAGATAATTATTTGCAAAATAATATAAAATATTTGTTTTTTCAAATTAACCTATAATTTAAAATATATATCTTTTAAAATTATATTAATATTAATGATATATCAAGTAAACAAATTGAGCAATATGTCAGCAGATTGTCAGCAAATTCAATTAGAAAAACTGCCAAATTGACATTAATCGTGTTTGCATTAAACTTATGTTTCGTTAATAAAATCTACTAACATGCAGATTGCATAACTAAGATTGCAGATTTTTAACAAAAATTGTATAGTTTATACTTCACAGATTTTGCTTGATTTCTGTTGCTGATTTGTGTCAAATTGCATAACAAATATATCAAAATCTATTTAAATTCTGCCATCATTCTGCCATTACATTTAAACAAATTTTTTCTTAATGAATTTTTTTCTGTTAAATATATTGTCTGTCAAATCTTATCTGTTAAATCAAATTTATATATTCTGTCGAGAAATATATAGCAGATGTTTACAGAATCTTGACAGAATTAACTTCATAATTGGGAATTAACTTTATATATAAAATGCTACTCAAGTAAAATAAACCTTATATTTTATACCTTTTATCAAATTTACCTTATATCAAATAAATTTAAAGATAGAAGCTTGAAAAAAATGAAGAAATTGGAGAAACGCTAAGTTTCATATTACTTTATTAATTACGACATGCAGAAGAATCATTCAATAATATGTATTGAAATGTATGTAGGAAACATGAAGAATTATAAAAAATTAAAATCATATTTATTGATAAATTAAATAATAATAAATTGGATTGAGATTTTATTCTTATTTTCTTTCTCTCTTAATAAAAATATAAGGGAGTTTGTTCCAAAATATAAAAACTGAGATGAAGTATGTTTCTTGTAATGTGAGCTCTCTCTCTCTCTCTC